ATATAGTTCCTTGAGAAACTTTGCTTATTTTTTCCAATATTTAACTGATCATGGACGTATATGTGGCTGCAACAAGATTTTGTCTCGACCGCTGCCAAGGTCATTTAATTATCATTAGGTTTATGGTGTGCTTGTCAAACAACCTTGTTCGTTTTTCAGCTCATTATGCTGATCATAGATTTTTAGTTGATTGAGTTTTATTTTGACTGATGCAAAGGTCTTTTCAGTTGCGTGCTTAATCATGCCTTCGGATTATGTTGCATAGTTTGATCTTTATCTCTAACTGTTGGGTGATACAACATTGCAGAATTCTTCAAGTTTTTGGCGATTATGTGCAGTGATTTCAACGAAAAAAATATTACTAGTGTTTTTATATAATAAGCATCGTCTAATCAAAACTTGTAGACAAACACTATTTTAAGCCCGTAAGGGGGTTTATACGTAATTAAACCTGCACACATAGCCTCATGCATAAATGGGAGCAATTATAGAGAAATGTTAAGGAGATTCTTGACTTTTTGTAGACTTTTTTGCTACCTCACAGTCAATCACCATGTTAACATTTTAAAATATTGTAAGAAACATGAGATCACAAAAAACTCATGGAGAGTCTCATTTTTAACATAGTTTTATGAGTTTTTCTCTTAATTATATATTGAATTTATTCAAGGTCATGCTGCCGTATTTGATTAATTCAGTTCAAAAAACAGAAAAAGCGATTGAATTTATTCGATATCAACCAATTGGTCTTTATATATGGCAGTAGCCAATTCAACAATACGAGGTTGACAGATAGGATAATATGTAACTTTATCCAATCGTGCTTCAAATTCTTCTTTTTTAAAAGTCAGATGAATGGTCATCTCTTACTTTGCAAATAATTAGACTCTTAACACGTGCCTTGAAAAAACAAACCAAAACAGCCAGATGCTGGATTAAATCAAACAGTTGAAATAATCCAAACCCTGAGCAATAATCAGCCTTTCAATTCGGGGTTTGGAATAAAAGGGAACAAACGAATTAATCTGTCGCAGTTGAAGGATATTCTCATCCTTATTTAATTGTTTGGGTTTGATTATTCAAAAAGACAGGTCTAAACTTCGTTTTGGTCTACATCAATTAGGGTGGACATGAATGTGCTTCTTAGGGCGGAGACAAATGTTTTCTTCCATACAATAAGAATATCGAGTTTCGTCATCTGTCTAATAAGGATGCGTTTATTACATCGGATAATTTCAAATTGGATTAACTTAAAAAACTAAGCTGGATTGATTTAGACTAGACTAAATAAGATTGACATAGTAAAGCATTTGATATAGTATCAAAATAAAAAGTAGGGTAATAAAAATCAATGAAAAAAGGATCCAATTTGAACAATCACAACAAATTAATTCCATACAACATCATAAATTATCTAACCCACAATGAAATCCTAAATTGCAAAGTACCAGAAGGGGAAATCACTAAGTAGAATACATCAATGAAAATCAAATTCGGGTTTTACTGGGATGCAAATTAGCCGTACCTAGTGCTTGGTTAGGCGCCTCCTGATTAGGAATGGACAATCGTTATGAAGCACAGGTAACTGCGGTTATTTATCCATAACCGTTTATACTTATACCTGCATAACCGTTTACCTATTAAGTAATTGCCTAAATGATTATACCCATACTCATAACTGTTTATAAACAGTTAACCATACCTATAACCGTGTATCTATTTAACCCTAACCGTAGTTTACCCATTTTTTAACCCATTTACCCCTTTTTCTCCTATTTACATTTTTTTTTTTGAACTGTAACCGTATACAACTTCAATAATTGAAATAAGAATTTACGAACGATATTTTTAACTGTTATCAATCAAGGTAATATGATATATTTGCTAAGAATTGATTTGTTACTAACAAAATACCTCTCATTACTTGAGCAAGCATATTGGAAAGAAAATTCATATATTTTAGACATATTTTTCTTCTATACCCAATCAAGTCTTCAATTGTAACATCCATACAATTACAAAGGAAAACTTCTAAAACTCAAGGCAGTCATTATCTTAGGTTGAGGATATTATAATCAATATGCACCAGGACTGAATGTTATAAGCACCAGCACTGGAATCAATAAGCATTAGCACTGGATGTTATAATTGAAATGGATGTTATAATCAACATGCAAATTCTATGGAACGTGAATGTTGTGATTTAGCTTAGCTTAGGTTTTTTGTTTTTTGTTATTTTGTTTTTTAATTTTATGTATATATTAAAATAAACGGTAAATGGGTACCCATTTATAACTGTAGTTAATACTCATAATTGTCCATATAAATTTCACGGATAAACTGTTACCTATAACCGCAACCGTGAAATTCGAATGGGTAACTACAATTACTCATAATCGATGGGTATTTGCCCATCCCTACTCCTGATGTCCTCGGTTTTCTTGGGGAGTCGCCTCCTGATGGTTGTTTTCATTCCTTTTATTTTTAATAATATTTTCTATGATTTCAATTATGAATATACATAACTAATTCCTTTTGCTAGGGTAAAGCCTTGAGCCTTAGCATGAATATGTAATTTTTATTTAATTGCTTATGATTGATTGCATGTTTGCTTTGAATTATTAATCACCGTGATTAAAACTATCTAATTATATTGATGCTTGATCACTATTAGGATCTTTAGAAAAGTAATTTGATGCAATTTTGGTCGGAAGGTTCCTGGAAATTGGCGCTGGTTTCTTGTGATTAATAATTGTAATTTCACTTAAGATGAACACCACTTATTAAGGGTTGTATGGTTTTTCAAAGGGTTTTCATAAAGCATAATGAGTCTCTCATGTTCAGATTTGATCCGAACGTCCGGACGGGTTGCATGTTAAAATTGCCTTCTCAATTTTGATTGATGAAAGGTAATTTATTTTTATACTGATGTGTTTTAATAATTAATTATTTTAAAAGAATAGTTATTAGCATTCAAAAAATCTCATTTACACTCCTTACAAATGTAGTTTTCTTTCTAATTATATAAAGTTTAAAATGCAAAATGAGATTTTTGAAGTGTCAGTAATAATTCCCAATTTTAATTCCAGAATAAGTTAACACTTTATTAGAGTTCAGGTTTATTTTTTTTCATTCGATTCTTGATGGTAACCACTTGGGACAGGCCAATTTTTTTGGGCATGTTTACTTACCAAGTTATCGAAATAAGGATATGGAGAATTTGGTATGAAATAAGCAAACACATGTTAATCTCATTTCTCATTGATTTTTTTCACTTTTTAGGTATGAGAATACCAAGATGCATTTATGTTTTCCATTCTTTTGGTTCTAGCAAACATAAGAATGTGAATGATATCAATTCCTTACAAATTCATTTTTTTGTACGTGAAACAAGCCTGGTCTAAAACTATATTAATAGAATTCTGGTTGTCAACTAAATCTCTATGAGATTACCATTCTAACCATCTAATTAAAACTGAAAAGAAAAAAAAAATATAAGCAATTTACTAATTACAAACAACAGATTATTTTGGTACGTAAACCTCATAACCATGTAATAATAACATAATTGGCCACCTCGCTTGCCTCTAACCCACCTGCAAATAATGTAGGCTCTTCCTCTCCTCCAAAACCCTAATCGCCCTCTGCCAGACCCATCACCCAACAACTTCTCCCACATCCTCTGCGTTTTCCCCCATCACCCCTCTATCACCGCCCCCTGCCTCTCTGACCCATGAAACCTAGATTGGAGCACCTCCCACCATGAATCGGCATCCAATGTTCTGAAGGTATGAGCCTCAGTATTTAGTCTCTGCATCTTATGCAAGGTTGGAGGAAGATATTTTTAAGCATTAACAATCTCTTGCAATTCGTTAGATGTGTCATTGAAATACATATATTAATCATGATTGATCACTCCTTGATTACTTATTTTGTTGCATTCGATTGTTTTTACCCTTTGTTGCAGGGTTTGGTTTCATCCCAGTAGAGTTTCATATTATACAACTTTTGGGAGATGTACTAGGATTTGGATCCCATCCGGATCCAAATTGTGGGAATTCTAGAAATTTTCACATCTTAGCCATTCATCGTACATCGTGCAGTCAAAAATCATTTGACTTTTTTTTATTTAAAAATTAAACACAAATAATATCTGATGAAAGCTGGCTACATGATGTACGATGAATGACTATGATGTGAGTATCCCTAGGATCCCCACAAAGGGGATCCGGGGAGGATCCTCATCCGAAGTACTGAAGTTAGTGATGATTTTAGTGTTGCATGTAATAATATCTTTACAACTTATTATAAAATTTTGAAATTATTGCATAACTCATAAGTTTGGTTTTATTTCACTAATGTTAGTAATTGTTTTTCATAAGTTCATGTAACTCATACCATAATGAAAGAAAATTGAATTGCACACGTATAGCGTTTATACCGGTTGCTAGTGTTCATTATGTTTCCTTTCTTAATCCAATGACTACTCATTCTAATTTCTTCTTATTCTAATTAAGCATACAATAAGAGAACTTCCCTCCTACACATGCGCATTCCTTGCGCATCAATTGATTTAAACAAATCTCGACCTTCCATTTTTTTATTTTAAATGAAAACGAGAAACTAAGATTTGATTTGTTCAACTGATGTCCATGTGGCTCATGAGCAGTAGCGAAACTCCCCATACAATAATAATGACTGAGCAAAAGGGCTTTAACTTGGGCTTTAATAAAATAAACAAAAATTTTGACCCAAAAAAAAAAAAAAAAAAAAAAAAAGAAGAGGAAAACCAAGCAAAGCCCAGGTCCATACCGTTACTTGAGGAAGAGGTTCGCATCTCCCCTAGGAAAATTCCTGTTTCTGTAGACCCTTCTTTTGCACTTAAAACACTTCTCCGTACTAATCGCCAAATTTCCTCCCGCCATGGAAAGCCTCCATCCCCAACACCTTCCCTCTTTTCCCCCAAACAGAAACTAATCATTTCCCACCACAATCCCCAATTCCCCAAATGTTGCTCCGCCTCTGTTACACAACCCGCCGCTACTGCCTCCACCTCTTCCCCCACCACCACCGTCATCACAATCCCGCCCGCTTATTTTCCTCTTCCGCTTCCAGAAACGCCGACGAGCCCCCCAACAATCTCAAGAATTCCGACCAAGTCCCGCATCCTCCGTCTGTTATCCACCGCCGCTTAAACCCTCTGTATTCTGTCCCTGGCGCTTCCGCTCTCCCTCGCACCGCCGCCATCGCGCTCTCCAGCGCTCTCGCCTCTGCCCTGATCGCCTTGTACGTCGTCGTTTCGACGGACTGCGACGACAAGTCGTCGAATCCTGTATATAACGGAGTACGACATGCCGTCCTCAAATCCACCGAGTCGTTCAGGAAGTTTCTCCACCACGCTAAACAGACCGGCGTCGCCGCCTCCGTTCTCTGGCACTCTCTCAGCTCCATTTTGTCCTCTGCCAACCACGAGGTCCGCTCCGGCTTCGAGCTCCGGGTCGCTGCGTTCCTTGCCGATATTGCCGCCGCCAATGCCAGCCGAAGGGCCGCCCTTGTTGGGGCTGGAGGTGGCGCCGTTGTCGATTGGCTGCTCGAGTCGGTGGCTGTCCCTAGGGATGGGTGTGGGACCCAGGCCGAGTCGGCTAGAGCTCTCGCCTTCTTGATCTCTGATCCTAATGTGTCCGCCGCCGTGCTCGGCAGGCCCGGCGCTGTTCCCAGTCTCTTTAGGTTCATTTTCTCCTGCCAGCCTCATCCGTCTAAGAAGGTAAGCTTTCTCCATTCTTCTCTTGAATTTCGTTGATTTTTTCGAATTAGGAAAAGTTTGGACCCTTAGCGTTTGCGGCATTGAGTTCGTTTTTCGTTATGAACACTGGCATTGTCTTTCTATTGAAAATTCTGTGCACTAGGATAGTAACCGAGATCAACGTGACAAAGACAATAACTTTCAATAGGGAAATGCTTTGAGGCAATTTCCAGTGAGCATGGGTAGGATCCTTTGTGCCCCATTTTAATTAACATCACTCGACCTTCATAACCGAGTTTGTTGATGAGTTTAGTTCTGTTTTTAGTATTAATCAATGGAATTTCTGTCAGAGCAGCGTGCAAGGCGTAGTTCACTTGATGTTTCTGAAAATTTGAAAGGAAGGAGCATGCTTGTAGCTGCCATTATGGATATCGTCACAGCCAACTGTGATAGTTTAGAAAAAGTGTCCTTGAAGCCATTCCTGTCGGCGAATGCTGAAACGCAGGATATAGCAGCTGTCATTCAAGTTATTGAAGAAGGTGGCATGCGTTTGGATGAGTCACATGAAAATGAAGATGACGAAGATGGTGACAGTGGAATCAAGGGGATTGGTATTAAAGTTCTCGGGGGTACATCAGTTTTAGGCCTATCAAGAAAAAATGGAGTTGTGAAGCTGGGAAGTGCTGATACTAGTGAGTTAGGATCTGGAAGGGTTAATCCTCATAATCTTGTCCTGCAAAATATGCATGCCAGTTCTCTAGCACAGAGTAATCTGTCTTCTGCTGTTGTGCCTGGCCTCTGGGATGATTTGAATTGTCAACATGTTGCTGTTCCTTTTGCTACATGGGCATTGGCAAACTGGGCGATGGCATCAGAAGTGAATAGGTCACGAATACAGGAACTGGATGCAGATGGGCAAGCTATTATGACTGCTTTAATGGCGCCCTGAGAGATCAGTCAAATGGCACGGAAGTTTGGTGGCTCGGTTGCTATTAGAGGATCAGAATCTAGCCCTGAACGATTCAGTTTCTGATTGGAGTTCCAGTCTTCTTTCTACTGTTTCTCAGGCAACTAAAAATGAAGACATTCCTTTGGCTCGGGTGGCTTTGTCAGCATTCTTGATTTCTGTTGAGAGGAGCCCTGAAGCGCGGAAGATAGTGATGGAAAAGGGTCTTCATCTGATAAGAGACATTGCGAAGCGAATGATGAAGCATAATGATGTGCAAGAAGCATTGTCAAGGGCATTGGAATTGCTTTGTTCTGGGGACTTGCATTTACCTCTTGAAGAAGGCCAAAGGTGGTCTGCTGTATTACTTCGTTGGGTGTTTGGAAAACCTTCTTCTGACACATTACGTTTGTCAGCGATAAAAATCCTTTCTTGCATTCTCGAAGACTATGGACCATACTCTGTACCCATTTCTCAGGGATGGTTAGCTATTCTACTTACTGAAATTCTCACTTTGAAAAAGGCATCAGTTAAAGGAACCCCTCAGGCTAGATCTGTGAATGTGAAGGTCAGCATTCTTATTTCCTGTTTGGAAATTCTTTTGTATCTTTAAGAATGTTGCTTCCAATTTTCTTTATGCTGAAACCACTTCAATTTCGTTTCTCTCATCTAGTTTTGTTTAGAATGTACATATTGACCTTAATTTTTCTTTTGCAGACTCAAATTGATCAGTCAAACATGCTTTTTGCTGCACAGACTTCTAATCAGTTATTGGCAGCTGTTGTTAATCTAGCAGGAAATCAGCTGGGAACAACCACTGATTCTATTGATACATTTCCACTGGCAGATCTTCTGTCCGCTGAACCTTTTTCTGGGCCATTTAAAACCCTAAAGAAAGATAGTTTGCCTAAGGTTAATGCGGCAGATTCTGCAGTGGCAACTCTGAAGGGAATCAAGGCACTGACTGAAGTTTGTGCTGACGATTCTTTATGTCAGGAGAAACTAACAGATTTTGGAGTCTTAAGTTTGCTGAGACGGTTTTTGTTACGTGATGATTATGAGAAATTTGCTGCCATAGAAGCGTATGATGCTTCTAAGACGCTTGAGGCACAAGAGCGAACCTCCTATGTTTCTAAAGAGTCATCTATTCCAGATAGTAATGGTCAATCTAGTGTCCAAGTTCCACCCACAGCTCATATCCGTAGGCATGCAGCGAGGCTCTTGACTATTCTTTCAATACATCCAAAAGTCCAGAGAGTCATAATAGCAGATAAAACTTGGTGTAAATGGCTTGAGGATTGTGCTAACGGTAAGATCTCAGGTTGTAGTGATCTTAAAATTCAAAGTTATGCTAGAAAAACACTTATAAATGTATTTTGCGGACGCCAAAGAGATTCTGCAAATGGTGATGTTCCCGATGCTGGTATTGCAAATGGAAACAAAAATTGCCCCCGTTATGATGACATGATATTCTTAATCAATCCTGAACTTCCCCATTGGAATTGCCCTGAAAAAAGTGACCAAGACACAAGTCCAAGGGATGCATCCTCTTCGGATCAAGTAAATTCTGTTGAGAGTGTGGATAAATCTGTGTCCAGAATTTCAGATGATGTTAACATATCCAGTTCTATGGATGCATCTCGTAGTAATGCAGCCACAAGGGAGCCTCTGCTGGATATTGTTTTTGTCCATGGCCTCCGTGGAGGCCCTTATAAGACTTGGCGCATATCCGAGGACAAGTCATCCACCAAGTCTGGCTTAGTAGAGAAGATTGACCAGGAAGCGGGAAAGCTAGGAACATTCTGGCCAGGTGAATGGCTTTCATCTGACTTTCCTCGAGCTCGTATGTTTACCCTTAAATACAAGGTTTGTTCTTGTGATTGTTGTATTAAATTTATTATTTTCTTGTAGGCTGGTCCCCTCATTGGCATCTAACTCTTTATCTGAATGTTATATGCAGACAAATCTAACACAGTGGTCCGGTGCTAGCCTGCCTCTTCAGGTCAGTGCTTTTTGGTTGACAGGAATTGGTTTCTATAGGGTGTTAAGAGCATTCTCTTCATTGCTAGTGATTCAGATTCTAATGACTTCAGGAGTTTATTGATTTGTAGAACATATGAATCTGTGCATGACTTAATTTTAGGCAATGATCTTTGGTTTCACCAACAAGTCATGTTTGAGCCTGTAGCTGATCTAGATGTTTTTTAGCTCCTTGCAGTTTCCAATTGTCTTCCTTTGTTTTTGGATTGTGCAGGAAGTTAGCTCGATGCTGTTAGAGAAGCTTGTTTCTGCAGGTATTGGGAATCGACCTGTTGTTTTCGTGACTCACAGGTCTGTACAGTGTTGCTTGTGTGTTCAAATCTATCCCACTGGTGTGCCATTTTCGGTTTAATCATACAGTAGCCATGACATATATTTTTTTGTCATCACACACACACACACACACATATAAAATGCACTCTCTTTATTTTTTAAATTTCAAATTCTAACTTTGACTGATTTAAGGATGTCTTTGAGGTCTTGTGTGTTGTCGGAGTTTTTTGTATCCCCGAAAAAACAAAACAGAAGTAAAAGAAGCAGGTGCTGCAGATGTTTTTCTTTTAAATGAACTTTCTGGTAAACACCAAATGTGGTACACAGTCTCACAACCAAAGGATATAGTCTTTTATTGTGCCTTCCTTTTCTCAACTTCAATTTAGTGCAGTAAATAATGCAACCAATCTTTCTCTTTATTTTGGTTCACAGCATCCTTTGTTTTTTGGGAGAACTAATAAAAAGTCCCTCACAAAACTCTTTTTATTGAAAAACACTTAGTCAACTTTTCTTATTATTAAGAACATGTATTGTATTATAAGGACGAAAAACAAAATTGAGTTGCCCTTCATGAGATCCTTAGTAATAAAGAAAGTGTCCTTAATAATACAAAAAGGTGTCCTTGATGATAAAGAAAGTTGTCTACGAGTTTTTTAATAAAAAAAGGTTTTGCTAGAGGCATTTGATTGATTTTCTATTTTTTGGGTAAACTAGTTCATAGCATCCTTTTATTACTAAGTTTTTATACAATATAATTTATAGATGATTCTATTTTTTAATGCAATAATCTACTAGCTTTCTCTTGTTTGCAGCATGGGAGGTCTGGTTGTCAAGCAGATACTGCATAAAGCAAGAGCAGATAATATCAATAACCTCGTGAAAAACACCATTGGAGTTGTACGCACCTTTCTATAATTGAACAATTCACTTACAATGCTGTTCTTCACCTGTTTATTATCATTTTCTATATGAGAACTCTAGTGTTTTATGCTCGCTTCAGGTTTTCTATAGCTGCCCACATTTTGGAAGCAAACTAGCTGACATGCCTTGGAGAATGGGATTTGTGTTTCGCCCAGCACCGACTGTTAGTATATGATGTTTACAACCTAAACGTTTTCTTCCCTATAGTATCAGATCGCTGGTTCTGAATGTTTGGACCAGCAAATCTTGCTGTATTGATGTTGATAGAATCACTTCTTGATGTTTCGTAGATAGGGGAGCTAAGAAGTGGATCTCCAAGATTAGTAGAGCTTAATGACTTTATCCGTCAGCTTCACAAGAAGGGGATGCTTCAAGTCCTCAGTTTCTGTGAGGTACCTCTAAAGTTTTGTGGTGGTGCTTGTGTCAATTTGCGATTTTGTGAACTTGTTAATTAGGTAATGACTCCTTTTGCAGACCAAGGTAACTCCAATTGTTGAAGGTTACGGCGGATGGGCCTTCCGAATGGAAATTGTACCAATTGAATCAGCATATCCTGGATTTGGCGATCTCGTTGTAAGTATGATTGCAAACAAATGTAGATCACTAAAAAATCGGTTAGGTCATCTGCTTGAAAAAATGATACTAAAAAACCCTAGACTATGGCCTAGTTTGGTACTGAGGTGATTCTAAAAAAAACTGGTATAAAAAAAAGCTGGGAGCTGTTTTTGTGTTTTGGTAAACATTCAGCTTCAGCTTTTTTTCACAGTTTTGGGTGAAAAAAAGCCAAAAACAAGAAGCTGCAAAACCCAGCTTTGAAAAACCGGCTTTTTGTCACATCTGTTTTACATAAAAGTTTACCAAACACTATAATACTGCTTTTTTTCTTTCCAAAGCACTTTTACAAAAAAGTTTACCAAACACTCTGCTGCTTTATTTCACAGTTGCTTATTCTCACATCACAACAAAAGTAGTTTTTTTTCAAAGCACAGCAATACCAAACCAGCCCTATAACTTGCTTCCAGTAATAAGTGTTCCATATTCTGCATGTCTGTTTATTTTCGGCATTAATTTTGTAACTTTGGAACAGGTACTAGACTCAACAGATCACATAAACTCGTGCAAACCACTCAGCCGCAGCGATCCCTCATATACAGAGATATTACAGTTTTTGCGGAAGCTGAAAGCAAGCCAGAAATGAACAGGCAGTTGCGTAAAGGATGCTGCCTCAGGAATTATGTTCACGAATGTTCCAAATCCAAGCGTGCCAGGAGTCACCGGTGGATTTTCATCCAAAGGGATCAGGTAACCCCGAGTCATTCCTGGGCGGAGGTGGAGGCAGAAGCGGAAGCAAAAGCATAATTTTGACACATCAGAGTTCGTCCATAGTTTTGACAGATCAGATTTCTGTACTCTCCACCACCCAGAGTTGGATAACCATTATTCTTTGTACTCTGTTAGCATTGTTGTATCATTAACATTTTTGAATTTTGTAGAAAAAAAGCATCTGTTGTATTGTGTATCATATGCATAATAGGTGTAACATTTCAGAGTCTGTCCATATATATTTGTGAAAGATTATGTAGCACTCCGCCGCATACGATTGACGTCTTCCTGACCCTCGCAACGCGGGGAGCAGAAAATTTTGCTGACTTGAAGGCGTCCTGTAATTATTTGAAAATAAATGTTGTGGATGTAAAATTATAAAAGTAGCAAATATTCGAGACAGTGTGACACGGTTTGCAACGTAACACCGTTAACGATGTCGTCGATGTTAATGGAGAAAGCCGTCTCGGCGCCAATGGCCCATTTCGTCTTTCCACGCCCTCACTCGTCGAATAAGCCCTCGACAATTTTAACGACAAAGGCCCGTCGTCGAGCTCTGCCGCTCCGTTGCTCCGACTCGAACACCGCCGCTTCCACGTCTCTGTCTCCGCCGATTGTTTAGACGGCGAACACCGGAACGGTGCCGCCGCTGGTGCGGAGGACGATGTGGTACCGGAAGCAGTACCCGGGAGAGAGCAAAGGCATCACCGAGGAGATAATAAATTGAGCACCAACGGTAACAATTCTTCTTCTGATGACGATGACGGTGACGGTCGGAATGACGATAATGCCCCTGCCGAGGACAATAGCTCGGAATCGGATGCCGACGGCGACGGGGGTGAAACGGAGACTTGGCGGCGGAGCTTGGAAGGGTTTATCAAGTTCTTGGTGGACAGCAGGCTCGTATTCGACACACTCGAGCGCATTGTCGATGAATCAAACGGCGTCGCTTGTGAGTTTGTGGCTGATTTCATTTCATCAATTCACCGTCTTTTAAAAAAAAAATCAATTGGGAATTTTAATTACAAATTAATTGGATATTTGTTTATTCAATTTAGATGCATATTTTAGGAAGACTGGATTGGAGAGATCGAAGAGTCTTTCGGGAGATCTCGAATGGTTTAAGCAGCAGGGCAATGTGATTCCGGAACCCAGCAATCCAGGAGTTTCTTATGCCAAGTATTTGGAGGGGCTTGCAGAACATTCTGCTCCATTGTTCCTCTGCCACTTCTACAAAATCTACTTTTCGCATATAGCTGGTGGGCAGGTCATTGCAAGACGGGTACTTTTCGAGTTTTCAGGATTCTTTAATCTTGCCTAAATGATTCAAAGTCTTGAAATTTATGTTAATTGTTCTGAATTCTGAGGCGGTGTTGCTGAAGTTGCGTAAATTCTAGAGTGCATCAACGAATGACATACATTGCTGAATTTCCCTCCGCCGCCCGGGGGGGGGGGGGGGGGGGGTGGGTGTGGGAATGTAACGGAATTTAGTGTGCGACTCTAAGACTAAGCCACTTAAAATACAATGCATTGATGTAGAGTAGAGGGTCTCCAAGTTATTGACTACTTGCAGCCCGTTTTGTAGAGGCATGAAAGTTTTGATCTTTGTGTGGAAAGATGAGGTTTTTTCTAGTGCTTTTTACAGGACGGGATCAACTGACTAGTAACTACTTTTGCATTCTGCAAACTTGGATTGGCGAATTTCAGGTATCTGAGAAGTTGCTGGAAGGAAGGGAGTTTGGGGTTTTTGTATTTATTTCTTAGTACTTAGAAGTTGGAAATTTTTGTTTTGTGACTACAGCATTGGACTGGACATGACAAAAACAAATGCTTTAAAGAAACAACAAAATCATTTCGGTATTTGGGGCAGATAGTTCGTTTGATCATCCTAGAGCCCAAGTAATCTGAATCAAACTGCTCGGGAGATCACTTACCGGTAAGGCTGTCTAAATTTATTTTCTCCCTTCGTTTTTTGAATTTCTCAGATATTAATAGCTCTGCTTTCAAACATTGGTTGCTAAATTCATCCTTGCATTTTCTGGTGCATTTGTGTCACAGCAGCGATCGGTAACAATGGTTTTCTGTTCTGTTATCAGGTAGCATTGGTCTAGGGTGGACTCATTTTTGTGTAGAAGGTGATTTTTCGAAGGGCTTAACACCAGTGCATCACTAATCTAGAGAGAAGACGAGGATGCCTTGTATACTTTTCTTCCGTAAGGCTTAGGATGATGTATAAGGGGATTGAGAAAGCACCCAACTGCAACTAGCTAGTTTTAAGGGAATAATATGTCAACAAATGCAAGAATATTGATACTGAATTATTACTGAGTTTACTCAGAGATGGCAATTTTAAACTTCCTTTGATTTGTATGGGTGGATGACTGGGATGACACTTCATGGATTTAAACTTAGTATCGATACATACATAAATAATTTGTGTTGTATTATGTGTGGAATAATAACGCCACATAAGAATTTAATGATTACACCAGAAAAAAAAAATCACTCCTCCAAATTATTCCAGTTGTATTACTGTATCTGTATCATCGTTTTATTTTATTTATTTAATTGTTTAGATAAATGCTCTAGTACGTGGGCTAATGTCTCAGTTGATATGGTGTTAGGCTTTAACATATGCGTCCGGCTTAAAATTTCCTCTTTCTCCCAAATTATTTTATTTGTTTTGAACTCTTCATTCCCCTTAATAATAGTAATATAGTAAATTAAAAAACACAAAAAGATAAAACCTTTATGGGATGACTCAGTGATTAGGGACGAATTTCAAGTCTTTATTTCACACATCACTTGTTGGATTTGATTTTCTGACACTCTTGGATCACACTATTGTCTAGTGGGTAAAGAGATGTTGAAATGTCTCTATGAATCTTCTCTACTCCCGAAAGGATTAACTATTATGGCGAAGTTACTAACTTGTCTACTTTAATAAATAAAAAAAGATATAAAATGCTCTACTATGACAGTGAGTTTAGGAACACGCGCTGCTTAAGACCAATTCAGATTCCCAGTCGGATCAAGTGGGAAAGTCAAACAAGGTAATGCAGAACATAAATTAGACTAATTAGTAAGGATGAAAATTTTTACCAAATTACCGCACCAACCATCTTACCAACCATACCATACCAAATTATTACCAAATATTTATACCAATTGGTAATGGTACGGTATTTGTACCATATTATACTATTTCGGTATGGTATTGGTATCCAAAACCAATATCGGTGGTATACCATACCTACCAATATTATTAATATTATATTATATATTTATTCATATAATTATTTGAGGGCAAAATTAATAAAATTAATAATAATTATTGTAGAAGTGTAAAAAATGTATATATATATATATATATATATATAAAATCACTTATAGTGACAAACTTTACAACTTTCATGAAGATGTCAGCTTCAAAATCCAATGCTATAATCCATAAACCTTAAATTTATATTTAAACATCAATTGTCATTTACGCTTTATTCTTCTTACTGAATTTCATTTTTAAAATTTTCCTTTTTGAAAACATGATCATCTAACGGATGTAAGAAGATGAACGGTGGTAAAACATCAATTGTCATTTACACTTCTACATTAATTAAAAAAATATTAGATTTTAGACAAACTAAGTGGTGTAAAACAAAGTGGCAATTACCATTAGCATACCATACCAACCAAACTATTTGGTATACCGAAAGTTTGGTACGGTAATGATAATAGATTTTGCCGTATCAAATATTTGGTATGGTAATTGGTACAGAGGTTTTGGTACGGTAATGTACCAAAACCACCCCTACTATTTAGTATGATAATCCAACAAAAGATAAAGGGAGATTTACTTTATAATCGGGTGTGCTATTTGCACAGTTTTTAATTTTTCAGACAATTTTTATTAATTTTTATCCTGTAATCTTATTTAATTCATCTGATTCGATAACTAAAAATTAAAAAAATATATAAAAAGTAAAAAGAAGTTATGAATATCACAACCTTTTTACAATATCTAACGTTTTTAATTGATAATAGATTATTGATATATGATAAGTAACAGTGAAATTGAAAGCCTTCGTAAAGGAAGCGATGCAACGTGGGTGGTCAGCTTATCAAAGAATATGAATCCCCTGCTTCTTTGACCTCCTGTCCCCTCTCAACAAAAAAACATACATTAACATATAACATTAGCATTAATTGTAATAATTAAGTAGCAAATGGGTTCAAAAATTCATGAGCCACACATGCCACGATCAACAATGCAACTGGTCGACAAATTTGCGTCCTTAAAGATCGCGAACCGACAATCGAAAAACTCTTGTTAATTTAGAGACATACTGACCGATAAATGCTTTTTATACTGGATCACTGATCATAAGGCGTAGTAAACTTTTGGCCTAAACATTAACAATTTATGGTCAAGTTCCAGTGGCTGATGGTTTGGTTATGGCAGCTCACTTCTAAGACTTGAGTTCTGTGCTTCTGGAACTTCCAGCAATGGCTTCAAGTCTCAACCAAATATATAGCAAAAAATATTTTTAAGAAATTATAATGGTATTATTATCAAAGTAATATTTTTCTTTTGAAAATTTTACTCCTAAATAGTTGAAAAATTCTATAAATTATTTTGTTATAGTAATTGAACCTAGTTTTGATTTCGATCCATGAAGTCAGTAAATGTTTGGGTAGTAGAATCATTTCAACTCCTAACTTTTATGTATTTACTGACACATAAACATGAGCATTTTTAATTTATGACTTCTCTTTGCGTTTGCAAACTCATCAAAATTAATGAGTTATATAAATTTCATATTATACTTTGTATTTGTAATTCAATACGTGAAAAATTAAGAATTAAATTGATTAGAAAAATAGTTTATATCATTTTTTTTATTCTCTCCATATTGGCCTAGGCAACATTTCTAAATGGGGTATGCTATCCACACACCCTTGATAATTTACGTTCTTTGAGCCGAAAATTAAAAAGGTGTGTGAGAAGTAAAATGGGGTTTGTGGATATCGCACCCCTTCTAAATTCAGCCTGTCCAAAACCCTAGGCAACATTTCTAAATTCAACATGTCCAAAACCATAGGCAGCATTTAATTTCAGAGAAATTATCTAATGAAATTACAAAGTCTAGATCCAAGTAATAAATACAGTGTGGCCACGAGTCTAGAGATAAAAGATAGGGATCCATCTAAATTTTGATTGACATGCCCCGATCCCAATATCCTTCTAAAAGCAGGATGGGCAAGTGCTGGTCGACACCCGAGGGTGACGAAGCCATTTTAAACATGCTTACAAAGAAAATATGTAATTAGAAAGAAAAATGTCAATGCATGAATGTGTTCAGAGCATACAACTAATCAAGTATAATGTGAAAGAATTATTATAAAAAGATACGAACAAAGGAATGGGTCCTATACAAAGAAGACTCAAAGATACCTATGCATAAGTGCCCCGACACCGGAATCATGTGCCTTTATTCTAACTCCTAAAGGGGGTGTAAACATAGGATGAGTGAACCAAAGTTTATAATAATAATACTAATAATAAGAAAACCATTTTCTTTCTGAACATACTAACCCCCTATTTTGAAAACATATATGTATAGTACTACATAATAGGTTTTCTGAAAACTCTAGCATGCCATGAAAAACATTCGTAAGACAAGTACGTAGAATCCAGGCACCTGTGCTCAGTAAAGGTAATATAGTCGCCTGAAAGCAAATCCGTAAATCACATCAATTATGTACTCAACTAGGGGGTATCATAGTGGCCTGAAGGCGTAACTATCACCCGAAGGTAAAGCTGTATGACACTGGGATATGCAAGTGAAGAAATATAGGGTCCATCACCCGAAGGTGAAGCTATACGACTTTGAGTTATGCTAGAGAAGAAACATATACATACATACATATATATATATATATGTATGCATGTATATGTAATGGGTCCATCACTCGAATGTGAAGCTGTACGACTCTGGGTTACGCCAAAGAAGAAACATATATATATATATATATGTATATATAGTGGGTCCATCACCTAAAGGTGAAGCTATACGACTCTGGGTTACGCTAGAGAAGAAATATAGGGTCCATCACCCAAAAGTGAAGCTCTACGACTCTGGGTTACACCAGAGAAGAAATATAAGGTATATCACCTGAAGGTGAAGCTGTACGATTTTGGGTTACACCAGAGAAGAAATGTTTACATATAACATAACACGCTGACACTTCTGCACAACTTCTAATACATTTACAAGTTCCAAGTGTTAGATCATCCACTTCTGCACAACTTCAACACTGTTTTCAAAACCTCAACTCAGTGTCTATCACAACTAGTGATGTAAGTGCAGGTTCTGATAGTCCTGATATTCATGAAACAGTTCAAAACACAGAAGAAGTTGACAGTTCTGGAGTGTTGCACAAGAGCAATGATATCACATCATCAACATCTTCACAGCATCTCTCCCCATCATACTATCACTCTGGTACAATATCTATATTGCCTGTCCATTTAGAATCTTAACTTGAGGTATGTCTTCCAAATTTGTCTCCCTTTGATGCAATTTAGCAACCTGTCACTTCAACTCATTCAATGCTTACTAGACTAAAGAGTGGAGCAATTAAAGGAATAAATTATGCTGCATTGGTTGCAGCTTGTCCTCAGTTACAATTTTTGCAAATTATAGATGAAGAACCATTCATTGGTGGGTATTCATTTGTTTTTGAAATTTCTGATGTACTTGAACCTTCAATATTTCAAAAATCAGCAACTATACCACAATGGAAAACAACAATGCAAGAAGAGTATGACTCTCTTAAAGCTTAAGGGACATAGGTTTTAGCTCCACCACCTTAAGATAGAGCAATTGTAGGGAGTAAATAGGTGTACAAGGTTAAGAAGAATCTAGATGGTAGTGTGTCAAGGTATAAAGCAAGGTTGGTAGCTCAAGGTTTTTCTCAAGAACATGACATTGATTATCTGGATACTTTTAGTCCAGTTGTAAGGCACACCACTGTGAGAATCATCCTAACTTTAGCTGCTACCAATAACTGGAGTCTCAGGCAATTGGATATTAAAAATGCATTTCTGCATGGAGATTTGCAAAAGGGGGTATACATAAAGCAGTCTCAAGGCTTTGTTGATCCATTTTATCCCTCTCATGTTTGTAAGTTGATTAAGTCCTTATATGGATTGAAACATGCACCAAGAGCATGGAATTCGAAATTCACTAGCTATTTGACAGTCTTGGGTTTCAAAGCTTCAGCCTTAGATACTAGTTTCTTTGTTAAACAAGATGGATCAGATATTATCATCTTATTATTATATGTGGATGATTTTATTTTGACTGGTT